TCGATGGGCTGAATTGCACAAAACGCATGATCGCACCGGCTAGTCTGGTGCGCGTTGCTATTTATAAGAAGTAACACATGCGACAAAAACCTATGGATGGAAGAAAAACAGAAAATAACACAAACGGAGTTTGCCAGTGAATGCAACTGCGTTAGAACATATGAATTTCGCCTGTCTGTAGACACAAAAAGCCACCAGGACAACAGATCGAAAGCTTGAGAAACGCAAAAAATTTACTTCAAACTGTGGCTCATCGTTTTCTTCTTCATAATGTGCACCACCATGAATAGTTGCCACGGCAAACATATCATTAAATGCACACATCGTTAACAGTGAACCTACAGATAAATCATTTTTTAAAAATTCATGAAAATGGTGCTTTTCAATAGAAAATTGGCCAACGCACGGCCTGCCCGTGCGAAGATGCGTTTTTTGCAAAGTTTTCCGCAGTTTTTCCCAATACCGGCACCGGTTTTTTCGGCAAATGCTTCTAGCTAAACAAATTAAGACTGGCCGTCAGAAATGTCAGGAAACATCCCCTTAAGATTTCAGCTTTCCAGCTTCTCAGATCCCCGAGTTATGAACTTACCCGTAAAAAAATTTGGCGGGCTCTTACGTGGGTACCACGCGGGTGATGGCGCCCATTTTAGGGTTTGGGGCCCGCACATGTATGTAGATTAAGTCTTCAGCCCTGTAGTTTTGTAGGCCCTGAGATGAAAAACCGTGGCGCACACACGGACACACAGACACACACACAGACAACCCCTCGTTAATATGCGTTTTCTGTACTGCATAGCTGCAAAAAACGCATAAAAAAGCTGATTATCGAATAGTCAAAAAATGTTACTACCTGAATAGCAGAAGATGATTTTTTGCGTGCCAGCATGTGAAAATGTTCGAAAATAGCGCTCAGAGGTGGCCACAACAAGAACTGTTCGCCCAATAGCTATATTTTCAACAGATTCACCCTCAGGCAGTGCAACATTCCACTGTCGTGATCCATAATCCCAAGCACTGATATGATGCACTTGTAGCTCACTGTAAAATTATCATAAAGCATTTAAAAATAAACAAGTTTCAACAAGTTAAACGTATAAATTTTAGAGGCCAAAACAGCTTAAAATCATAGTTAAGCTGATTATAGCATGATTTTAGCACAGAAGTAATATGAAGAACTTAAATAGGGCAAGAATAGGACGAACTATGTAATGAAGGATGTAAAAATAATAGCTGGTGTAGAAAAAATAAGGACGAGAGAGATAAGACGTTTCGTTCTATTAAGTCATATAAATTATTAATTTTTTCATATATTCTTTTATAGTTTTCAGTTCATTCTTATTATTATCGCTACTATTATAGTTATTTTATCAATATACTATGCACTGATGGATGTAGAAATATAGCTGGTGCAGGAAGAACGGAAATTGGCAGTATCTCAAACAACAATAGCGCCAATAGTAGGCTGCAGCACATTCTATATAAGGAGCTCTGAGCCGGATCTGATGTGAAAAACACTGTAAATCACTATTTCGTTATTATTATGTGAATCAAGAAAAAAAAATATTACAGTAATTAACGGGAAATGGCCTAATAAACAAAAATTAAAAAAAGAACCTCAAAGTTTCTCCGTCAGCTTTTGATGCCAATGCAACAACCTCATTGGTCATATCAGCGACAGAAAAATTGCTCGTACTATTATCAACGATAATTTCCGGATGAACGGATGCATCGTGCCAGTTTATCTAAAAAAACATTAACCGAAAATCCAGAAACGAGAAAAAAACCGAACGTTGAAGGTATTATAAATAATTGGCCAACGCGCGGGCTGCCCGTGCGAAGATGCGTTTTTTGCAGAGTTCCCCGCAGT